AAATGAGACTAAAACTACATGCAAGTTTTCCATTGAAAAGTGAAAAACTGGTCATCAAACCATACTGTCTGCAAAAAAAAGTTGAATTCAAGAGTCCTTTTGCAATTAGACTTCTTGTATCATGACATCTTAGCATAGAAATGAGCAAAAAGTAACAAATTTCAATTTCTTATAGCCTCTGTGTGCATTTTTATATGTAAATATGGGCTACGGCCTAAATCGACTCTAAATAATTCTCAGTCTTACATGGCCTAAGACCATTTTATACTCATGTGGTATGCTTTTTGTAACTTTTCTTTACATTTAAAGTACATTTAATATATATGGAAGAATAATGTATGGTTAAAAAACTTCAAAAACTTCAAATTGGTTGAAAAAAATGCATGTTTATGTAAGGCTTCCCTTAATTAAAAAATCTCTATTTTCAGGCACAGGCTCATATAAATTTGACTTTTGAATAACTGTAATAAATCTGATAAATCAAATGAGTGTTCCGTTGCTTTTAATACTTATTATATTAAATTCAAGAGTATTTAAAAAGCAAATTTTTGCAATATTTAAATTTTTTAGGCCAAAATCTTGACAGTTGAAAATATTTGATTTAAACGTCAAAAATAAACCACCAAATTTCAATATTAAAATGGCCCTAGTTTCTATAATATATATCCTATGGCCATGAAACTTGGCCAACTATCTTATAATTGCCTAAGCTTAGGTCATGCAAAGTTTTATTAAAATTGGTCAAGTCTTTCTATCCTATTAGGTCCAAGGACACAGTTATCGTCCTTTGGTTTTCGTTGTCTACAAATATAGTCCCTAGTGTGAACAGTGTATAACTTGCATTTTTTTTTGATACACTTTCCCAATTTATTTCTTGATATTTTATGCATGAAATATTAAGCAAGGGGATGAAATTACATGTTAAAAAAATTTGGGTGCTGAATCTTTATGTTAAGTAGTGATTTGGTCCAGTTAAAAAAGGTCAAAAATTAGAATGTCTGAAGCTGTCAAACTGCATTTTAGCCCCCCTTAACACAGAATTGTCAATATTTTGAGTTTGAGCTGGTAGAAGTTTCTATAATTTTGATATTATTTGTATCAATAGTAGTACACTACACTGTAAAAATCTTTTTGAGATAGAGCAGGTGCGATTTTTTTAATTTGAATTTATTGTCTAAAAGAAATGCACTACGAAATAACTGTGTTCTCGGGCCACATATGAAAGGGAGACAATCTTGGTATTGCTGAAATCATTAATGTTGAAGCAAGATTATCTCCCCCTTTAATACCAATTATTCAGGATTTTCGAGATAATGAACACAGCAGCATGGAGTTAAACAAGTTGTAACACTTGATATTTTTCAAGACATCTTCTTAGTGCTACTCACCAAAGGCTTTGAGCTGTCAGAACACCCAACTAGAGGCTCTCAAGAGCCTGTGTCGCTCACCTGATTCTACTTTGGCTTGGAAATCATGTAAAAATAGATTAAAATAATAACGGATACCCTAATAATGATTGCGGCCAAATTTGGTTTAATATAAAAGCAGAAGACTTTTGTAAAGTTTACAGAAATTACCAATAAATTCATTGAAATTGTAGAAAATGACTTTATAAGGACAATAACTCCAAGAAGATCTCAATTGACAATTTTGCTCACTTATGTGTAGATCTTCTTTTCTTGATATTTTTTTGCAGTTTACAGTATATCTCAATCTATAAAGATAAATGTATTAAGGTCTTCATCAGCACCTCATAAGGAACATTTATGCCATGTTTGGTTTCATTCCAGTGCTCCTCTAGAAGGAGCATTTGTATGTATTTCCCATAGGGTCTTATGTTAAACTAAGTCCCCTGCTGGCGGCCATCTTGGATGATGGTTTGGCTACAAAGTAACAACACTTGGTCAGCACCTCATTAGGAACATTCATGCCATGCTAGGATATTCTATTCAGCGGTTCTCTAGAAGAAAACATTTGTATGTATTTCCCATAGGGTCCTACATGTATGTTAAACTTACTCCCCCTGCTGGCCGCCATCTTGGATGACAAATCATCTACAAAGTAACAATACTTGGTCAGAACCTCAAAAGAAACATTCATACATGTTTGGTTTCAATCCATTAAGCATTTTTCTAGAAGAAGACATTTGTATAGATTTCCCATAGGGTCCTTTGTTAAACTAAGTCCCCTGTTGGCAGCCATCTTGGTTGATGGATTTGCTACAAAGTAACAACACTTAGTCAGCACCTCATAAGGAACATTCATGCCATGTTTGGTTTCATTCCATTCAGTGGTTCTCTAAAAGGAAACATTTGTATTATTATTGTATTTCCCATAGGGTCCTATGTTAAACTAAGTCCCCTCTTCAAAAGAAGACTTTTGTATGTATTTCACATAGGGTCCTTTTGTTAAAATAAGTTCCACGCTGGCAGCCATCTTGGATGATGGATCGCCTACAAAGTTACAATACTTGGTCAGCACCTCATAAGTAACATTCATGCCATGTTTGGTTTCATTCCATTCAGTGGTTCTCTAAAAGAAAACATTTGTATGTATTGTCCATATGGTCCTTTGTTAATATAAGTTCCCTGCTGGCGGCCACCTTAGATGATTGATCGCCTACAAAGTTACAACACTTGGTCAGCACCTCATAAGGAACATTCTTGCCATGTTTGGTTTCATTCCATTCAGTGGTTCTCTAAAAGAAGACATTTGTATGTATTGTCCATATGGTCCTTTGTTAATATAAGTTCCCCGCTGGTGGCCATCTTAGATGATTGATCGCCTACAAAGTTATAAACACTTGGTCAGCACCTAATAAGGAACATTCATGCCATGTTTTGTTTCATTAGAAGAAGTTCAAAATGTAAAAAGTTAATGACGACGACCGCGGACAATGATTGATGACGGACGCCAAGTGATGAGAAATGCTCACTTGCCCCTTCGGGCCAGGTGAGCTAAAAATCTAAATGTTTGAAGGTTTAACTCTTCAAACTGATCAATTATTTTAGCTCATTGCTGTTCTGAAAACATCCAAAAAGTGTTGAGCTAGTTTTGATGTTAAGTACAGGCAACCTTTGAAGTTGTCCTATATTAATGTCATTTTTATGAACTCTTCATAAACATCACTTCCTGCATGTTTAGAACAAATTTGTGGTAGCTCAAATGGTATCTGAGCCAAGAGATTTGTGGTAGCTCAAATGGTATCTGAACCAAGAGATTTGTTGTAACTCAAATGGTATCTGAGGCAAGAGATTTGTGGTAACTCAAATGGTATCTGAGCCAAGAGATTTGTTGTAGCTCAAATGATATCTGAGCCAAGAGATTAGTGGTGGCTCAAATGGTATCTGAGCTAAGAAATTTGTGGTAGCTCAAGTGGTATCTGAACCAAGAGATTTGTGGTAGCTCAAATGGTATCTGAGCCAAGAGATTTGTGGTAGCTCAAGTGGTATCTGAGCCAAGAGGCGGAAGGCTGAATATCTCATTTTGTCATGTGTCAGAAAAATTTTCAGTTTTCCTCCCAGTTTGATAGGATTTTTTCCCTTTGACTCAAATAACAAGATCTTGAGTAGTCTTTTCATTTTAAAAATTAACAGAATATAGACACAGCAGATTTCATCTATTGTATATGTACATGATCGAAAACAAAAAAAATAATGTTAGAGATTATAACAAAAAATAATAGTTCAAGGAAAAATTCTAAAAATGAAATGCATTATTACATTTGGCCTATTGCATACATCATTAAGTGAGAAACTAAGTCTATGACAAATCCACTAAATAAAAACAGACAACACAAAATTAACATCAAGGTTTAACTACATGTACTCGAAAAAACTGTTGATGACCTCTACGCTAAATCTGTTGGATGTGTACTGATTGATACTTCAGTCTGGGAGAACATGATTTATTTATTAGTTGTTAATGACTTTGAACTGGCTTTCAGTAAATGAGTCCCCTCAGATCTAAACTTTGTGTCTTTTGTTGTTATGTTTTTTGCCTTTTTTTTGCTTTGTGCCAATCTGATGAGTTAAGCCATTTCCAACGGATTTTTACAATTTGTTTTAAGTTGTGCTGTTGCACAACTGTCCCAGGTTAAGGGAAGGTTGAGTGCTCACAAACATGTTAAAATTGTTTCACATTTTGTCATGTTGGGGCTTTATATAGCTGACAATAGGGTATGGGTTTTGCTTATTGTTTAAGACTTACAGTGACCTATATAATGGTTAATTTTTTTTATTTGTACTCTGTTGGATAGTTGTCTAGTTGGCAATCACACCACATCTCCTTATTGAAATACCTGAGGTTAGGGTCACACAACTCGACTAAAAAATTAAATAAGCTATATCTCGCAAAAAAATGATAATATATTAGAAAGGAAATACATCTACAGTATGTGGACAAAAGTCATTCCTTTATTTTTTTTCCCTACATATTTCATATAGAATTAAATTAAATGATATAAAAATATATGTGATAATTTTTACTCTAATTTTCATGAAATGTTCACTTACAATCTCTGAAATATCTAAAATAAATATTCTTTAAACTAACATTTATAACCTTAGAAATATTTGAATAATTCTTATGATCACTTTTTTTGAAATTTTAATTTTGAAGAGTTTATGACTTCATTGCAAACTTGATTATTGATGTAGAAAATACTTATAAATGTACAAGAACTTGCAACATTGAAAACTTAAGTTCATCTTATTTAATTAAATTGGAAATTTAAGATTTAAAATTAAACTATGAAACTTTTCATACATAAAAAAAATTAGAGTTAAATCATAATTTTTTTTATTAAAAATGCCTCAAAAAATCAGTTTATAGTATTTTCAGGAAAATTTACCAATTTGTATAAAATAATATTAAAAATGGAATGACTTTTGTCCACATGATATGATGCAATTGTTAAAACTAATCTCACTGACACCAAAAATGACAAATCTAAGGGGAGTCTCTATGGAAATTATCGCAGGCATGAAAAAAATAAACAATCATTATAAAATTCTCATATTTTCTTAATTGGTTTCCTAGAAGTTCTAACATGTCTATTTCGTTTTAAATGTTGCTCAGACCATTCTGCTTTTAATTTTTCTAACATGTCAGGAGTGAGAATGTTTGATTTCAGTAAATCTTGAGCTATTTCCCCCTCTTCATTTGAAGGTGCTTTTGGTGAATCGATCTGGTCTCTATCAACATTTTTACGATTTGGTTTAAATAATTTCCCAACTTCATTGAGTAGTCCACCAAGAATTGAATCTGACTCATCACTAAGATCTGGAGTTGCTTCCTTTGAAGTTTGTATTGATGCTTCAGAAGTTTTTAATAATACAGTAATTCTCTGAACTGCTTCCTGAATGATAATATCTAATTCTTTTTGAGTTTGTTGCACTGCTTCAAAATCTGGGAACATATCTGGAAAGCGGAACCTATTAAAAAGATAAATATTTACTGTTAGAATAGATCATTTTTAATATTTTTTTTTTCATATTTGATGTGTAAATGTTTTTCCATACTGGCCAATGAAACTGGATACTTCATATCTTAAATTTGAGTTTAGTCATTTATATACAATTCACTAAAATCCAAGAGATATTGAAAAAAATCAGTGAAAATCGGGGAACTATTTGAAGAAAAAAAAAATCCACTTGACATTTTGACACTTAATGTCCCAATGTTTTTTGTTGGAACCATAAATATATTGTTTTTACATTTAGATAAAAGATGTATGATCATTATACAGTTTCTGTCTATCTGTTCTAGTTTTCAAGATCAAAAGCAGTAATGGTAAAATTGATCAAAATATTGCTAGGTTTGAATTTGCTTTTCCTTCTGTCTTTAAATTACACTAAACGGCATAGAAAAATAGCTTACACTTGTTGTAGAAATCTATTCTGTGAAACTATAATGGAGTAGCCACCTTGAAACTATAAAACAGGGTGGGAGGCTAAAAACCCCAAAATGGTACATAACCCATCAAATGATGGGGCATGCATGGTAAGGTTTAGAAACATATATAAAATAGGTATTTGTTTTAAATAACTATTTATTGTTTTGTTGCCTTCAAATAAATTGTTTATTATCATGTAAATTATTGAATTTAATTGATAAACATAAGCCTTAATAACACACACACAATTTTAAACAATACCCCTTTAAACAAAGAAATAAACTGATACAATTAAATTAATACATTTTCATCAAGTTTATCTTATTAAAGGCATTGTATCAACAGATACAATGGAGTAGAGAATAAAAAAACTACAGATCTAGAGTAAGATTTTTCTCAAGTCCAAATTTCAATTCTGTCAATTATAATTTTGGAGCTTTTTACTTATCTCTGAATGGATAAATATTCCCTTCTAAGTGAAGAGCAAAGGGGAAGAATATACATTCTAAACCTTCATTTGTCTGAAAACAATGGAAATCAGGATTTTTTTAATACTAATTCACTTAAAGTTTGATAACAAGAAAAGTGTGTGAATTTTTTTTTAAATCTGTACAATAATAACAAGAAAATTTCATATGAAAAAAAAGCTGCTTTTTCACTCATTATAGCACAAATAACATTTTGCCCCTCTAAACTTGGATTTGATTCTGATATAAGTTTTTCAGCAAACTGTCTATTTTCAGTGGAAATTTTAATAAAGTATTATACAAAATTAACCAAAATTATATTGCGATTCCATCAGTTGACTCCCATTGATCAGCAGACCACTATGAATAAAAAAATGGACGCCAAATGATGGCAAAAGCTCACATGGTCCAACTGGAAGAGATGAGCAAAACATAATGACAAATAAAAATACAAGCGTTAACATAAAGCACTTATACTATTTTACAATCCAATTGTGTTTTAGATTGAATTTTGAAAACAAGCAAAATACATCTAATTACCTAAGCCACAGGTACAGATCAAACACATCAAAAATATCCTCTAGATGGACAAGATCATTAATGGTCTTTGGTTCACTAATTGTTCCTATCTGTCCACACAACCAATCAAATGTTAATGGCTCTCCAACATGAAGCTGTCTTGCAAACTGAAGTGGAAATTTTAACAATGATTAATCACATTGCAGCTGATACTTTCCTAAGTCATTCTAACTTTTAGATGATGCACACTTAAAAAGTTATATTATGTGCTGTGAATTACAAAATAAATGGAGAATGTTTCTATGGGCCACAGATGCCCCCGCTTGTAAATATGCATGAGTCAACTTTCACATACAGATGCAGGATTCACATAGTTAAGACTATTTTGTGATTATAAGCATTGTGTATAAGCTTATGAAACATTTGGTTGAGGCAAACTAAATTAAGCAGTGGTCTATATGAGCATGGATCTATTTTAACAAGAGTGCACATGCTGAAATGTCTTGCCTGCTTCACAAACCATGATTGATTTTATGTTGATAGTCCTAAAGTTTTACTACAATTATCACATAAACTTAACATTATCAATGATCAATGAAAATGAGGTCAAGGTCAGATATATCCAGTCAGACAGACATGTACACCTTACAATCATTCCATTCACCAAATGTAGTTGACCTATTGCTTATACATGTTATAGCATCTTAAAAGAGATTAAACTACTGAAACTTAACATTGACTAATGAACCATGAAAATAAGGTCAAGGACAGATGATACCTGCCAGACAGACATATATATCTTACAATCATTCCATACACAAATTACAGTGGAGTTATTACTTATAGTACAATGTATAATAAAAAAAGAACAAAACACAAAAACTTAACACTGACCAATAAACCCTGAAAATGCGGTAAAGATCAGACAATCATTCCATACACCAAATATAGTTGACGGACCTAATCACGTATCTTTAACCTTAATCACTGATCCATGAAATGAGGCTGAGATCAGGTGTGTGACAGACATGTAGATCTTGCGAGGAACCCATATACCAAATAGATATCCTTTTACTTATAATGAGTGAGAAATTCAAATGACAAAAAAATAAACTTTTTTTTGTAAACAGTTGCTGAACTATGAAAATGAGGCCAAGGACAACTGACATATGACAGACAGAAACTTCATATCATAAGGGATCTGAATATAAGGTATGAAGCCTCCAGGTCTTCTACCCTCTGAAATATAAAGCTTAATACAAATAGTTTACGCTATTGCCACCGCTGCCGGATTGTAATTCCTATGTCTTGCATTGTGTGATTTTTGTCGCAGGTGAGACCCTGAGACAAAATTCATTCAAATTCATTCAATATTAAATGCACATATTTTCATGGATGGATACCAGTTTGTTTTCTCCATACAAACCATACTGAATTTTTTAGTTAAAACCCATAAAATCCATGACAAATAAGTACTTGATGACAAATCATGAATCCACAGTACTTACAAGACAATAGAAATTACCATTCAGTATTTGGTCTACTAACAGTTGAATAAGATACTAAATATCATTAATGTCTTCCTATTAAGTGACGATACGAACAATGAATAATCCTGTCCTCTTTTCCTCAAATGTGACCTACCGAATTAGACTTATCACAAGGTAACTGGTTTGTACTTATATGAGCAACATGACAGATGCCACATGTGGAACAGGATCTGCTTACCCTTCCAGAGGACTTGAGATCACCCCCAGTTTTTGGTGATGTTCGTGTTGCTCAGTCTTTAGTTTTCTTTGTTTTGTTTTGTTTTGTAGACTGTTGTTTGTCTTTAGTGTGGACATTTTTCAATTTTTGCCATGGCAATATCAGTTTGTTTTCGACTTATGAGTTTGAATATCTCTTTGGTATCTTTCGCCTCTCCATTGATCTGCATGATTCATAACTGAATAGAAACTTAATTAGATGGTTAAAGAAACATGTTTTATGAATCACATGATATACACTGTCAAATTTCTACAGTTGAACCGGCAGTCAGAGCTAATGTTTTATTCAGTTGTGTATTACAGTTAGATATACCAAGGTATTTTCTCAGTTCTAGCAAAAAAGTGCTTGTTGAATGCAATTAACTAGATATAACAGCAAAACTGACAAAAAACTAAATCCAGAAAATATATTTAAGATTAAAGAACCATAGAAAATTGATCAATTAATTGAAAAGGATTAAGATAATTAAGATTGAAATTGACTTGAAATCATTTCAAGCTTTGTAGCTAATTCTCAGAATTGATTTCAGTGTTCATAGTTTTATCTGATTACCTTTGTTAACAATTTTTTTACCATGCTTTTTATTTATCATAAATTTCTTTCTTCATCAGGATGCAGGTACTTGTTGGTGTTTTCAACATTCAACAGTCAGTTTATTATCAATACTACAGAATATTTGAATTACTGAATAAATCCTATTAAGATGCTAGTCTAATTCACTTGCATCAAATTTGGTTCATAATATCATAAACTGTTGTCACAGAAGAGATATGTCTTGCCTTTTTGTAATTTTGATTGTGCAAATGTTGAAATTAAAATAGCAATACTTTAACATATAAGTTATGCAAATATTCAAAGTCAATGAACCATGACTGAAGGTACATGGCTAAACAATCTCCATGGAAATGAGATATGCCAATGCTAATGCAACTGCATACCAAATACCATTGACTTATTATAAGTCGTTCCCTTAAAAAAAACATAAAAACAAACATTAACTTGTAAACAATGTAAAAGTTTCAAAGTCAATGAACCATGATGAGGGGGTGGGGCTATATACTCTCCATGGAAACAATACTTCCAAATGCCAATAAATTTGCATACCAAATATCATTGACTTAACATTAGCAGTTCATCTTAAACTGATCTAATCACAAACTAATACATGTAAACTAAGCAAAAGTTTCAAAGTCAATAGACCATGACTGAGGAGGCAGGGCCAAATATTCTCCATGGAAATGAGATGTGCTAATGCTTATACAACTGAATACCAATTAACATTGGCCTACCACTAATGGTCCCCCTTGAACTGACCTAATCACAAACTAATACATGTAAACTAAGCAAAATTTTCAAAGTCAAAAGACCATGCCTAAGGGGTGGAGTCAAATAATCTCCATGGAAATGAGATATGCCAATGCTTATACAACTGCATACTAAATATCATTGACCTACCACCTGTAGTTCACCATAAACTAGACCTAATCACAAAACTTATACATTGTTGACGCCTCTGACGCCGAAAACAGCATACCTATATCTCGCTTTTTGACCCCGTCAAGGCGAGACAAAATAGAGACTCCAGAAAAGTACTTTTTCATCGATAGAGTAAGGACAATTATTTTTTAAAGATTTCATGAACTGGAAAAGAAAATAAATAATTTAAATGTTGTATACTGTTGACTAAACCAGAGCTATTAAACTTATTTTTGTCACAAAGCTTCCCAAATTTATCCCCATATTCAGTCTTCATAATTCTATTATTGGCTTTAGTGTAATCTAGTAAAAAGTAAATTACCTTTGGACAAGAAAAAGTAATGCAGGTGATTTTTAATTTTCCGATTTTTTCCCTAATATTTAAACCACTAGTTAATCAAACATATTCTAAAATACTTTCACATGGCAATATAGTCATGGCAGCTGAAATCAATAATCAATCAATTAAACAAATATTTTAATGTTATACATTACCTTTTGAAACATGGAGCACACAAACGCTTTATTTCGTGATATTGGAGAACAGCATAAAACATATCTAACTCTTAGTGTCAATGGTATGTGTTCTATCATTTCAGCAAGGATTTTAAAATCATCCAAATTACACATGAAAAAGTTAACGTTATCTAATTCTGACAAAACTATAAATATATCCTGAAAAAAAAAAGAAATATTTATAAGATTTGGTTAAATTTAAAGCAGAAACTAATCATCATCAAATGATGAAATAAGATACTGCAGTGTAATAAAGTTAATTGTACAAAAGTTACTTTCAAGAACTATTAACTAAATTGACTTCTTGTGTAGAAATTCAAAACAGGAATATACCTTACACTATTGGAGTAAATAAACTATCTATAAGACTTTCCGGCAACTGGTCTTCTTTAGTTTCTATTTAATGTTTCTAAACTACATGGTAGATAAGTCACATATCAAAATAGTTTCATCTTAGTTAACAGTAATAAGCTGAATTTTGAATAAAATGGAAAGGTAATAACACATTCCTGACTTGGTATAGCCTTTTACCATGTAAAAACTGATGTTACAGCAGTTTTTAAATTAACTATCATATAACAATTTTAAATATCATTCACTAGATCAGTGATTAAGTGTTTTTAAGTTTTGTCTAAATTTATAAAAAAAAACAGCATGCACATCTACCAACAGTTCCAAATAAAGTATACTTAATTCTTCAATCAAATATCTTTCAAAAAGAAACATTTGTAAATCTACTTACTATAAGGTTACATAATGTAGCACTAGGAAGATGATATGCAAACAGTTCTATCTGATCTGCAGTAGGATGTAAGCCAGCTTGCTGAAAAAGTCATTAAATGATTCAACTCAAACATGTCTAAAACTGAACTCGTGGCCTTTGGAGTTTAAAAAGGGTTTTATAATGATGATGAATAAGTATCAGATATACATTCCTCACAATTAATTTATTGAAACTTGTTCATGTAACAATAATGCTAGACAAGCAGATAGAAGTACATCAATATAACTCATTAGAATATGGAATGGCTGTATTAACAGTACCAAGCTACAGGCTCCAGAAGTCATTTCAAATTTCATTTTGAAGAACTCAGGTGAAAAAAAAAAAATTTAATTTGTGTATGACTTTCAGCCACGAATTAGATATTCAATATAGTGGTTTTCTTTGGACTTGTTTTTTAAACTATTACATTCTGCCTACACATTTTTTTGTTCAGTCTTTTATGGGAGATAAGTGGTCTCGTAGTAATGATGTAAGATTGATCTCACTGTTACATTGTGACCTTTGTTTATGATATTTTTCTTACATAGAATGAGATATTATCTGATGCATATTAACCCTATATCCTCTCCTTTAATATCTGATCTATAAATGGGGTCTAAGTAATAATTGGGCTAAATTGTTATGTGACCATCTAACTTAACAGATCACTTCATCCTATGGGGTTCAATAATTACTGTAATCATTTGCATATGCTACACTGGTATGTGATATAAGTTTGTCAAACATTTATGTTGGTGAATTACATGAAAACATAAACTGTGGCATTAAACCAAACAAACAAATCAATACATTTACCTTTATACTATCTACAGATCTAGTAATAATATCTGTTAATAATTGTAAATCTTTCCTCCTAAATGTTGTCACTTCACCATGTTCAAATTGTGTTCCAAATCTGCCTGCCCTGCCCCCTATTTGAAGTGCTGTGGATGTATCGACAACATCAATCTCAACTTGTCCATTGTCCATAATGGTTGGTTTTGTTAGAGAGTAAAATATAACTCTTTTGATTGCTCTATTGAAAAGAAGATAGTAATTTTGATATGTTATCTCGATATTCAATGCATTTGCAATAACTTAAATATTTCATCAAAACTGTATCACTGACATCTGAAGTTAAGTTTCAATAGCTTACCATTACTGCAGCGTCATTAACATTCTGTAGTCAATCCGAAAGCCGTTTATGCATAAAATTGCCATTCTAGTAGGTAAAGGATGGGATCCTTCTTCAAGCTCTTTTGATAAAATATCTTGTGACTTAAACTGACAAGTTGACAACAAATAATGATTTCTTCCCAACATTTATGGTAAAGGTTTTGGAAAAAATGCTTAATGACTTTATTTGGAAAATCCTGAATTCTCTAGAAAATGAACAACTCAAACCACACATCACCCAAAAGGTCCACCCACCATAACATATTTAAATATATATTACCACATTCACCTTACTTCTCTTGTGATCAATACTTACTTTCATTTAGATTATTTTCCCCTACTTTGTTCATCCTAAATTAAATACTTACAAATTTAGTCCCATTCCTATAGCATCTGTAGCTACCATTACTTTACAAGGATCATTAGGATCATTAAATCTTGCTGCCTGGGCTAATTTAGCTCCTAAACGAGGAATGTAGTAAATGTTATCATCAAAACAGTATATGTTCTTTACATGATATTTACAATATTTATGAACTACTTATATGTATATATCTTCAATTTTTTTCCGTTATTCTTTCATTTTTTTTCCAAGAAAAATTTGTGCTAGCAATTTTGCCATAATTGTCAATATCACTGTCATACAATATCATTGTCTGAATGTTTTCAGTCAAAGGTTATTAAGTAAAGGGAAAGCACTCCTCAAATGTCATATACAGAAAATCCTTTGCCATTGTAAATGTTTTATAGAGAATACACTTGTTTGATATCTACTGGTAATGCACATACTGATAAAGATCAATTTTTCCTTACCTGGAGGTAGTCCACCATATATAACAGCACATTTTATTCCCTTTTTTTCTAACTGTTGGCTCACAAAATATATATCATTTTTACTGAAGCATACTATACAATCACCAGGCCTTATATTGTCAAAACTTTCTGAAATGAAAAAAACAAAATTCACATACAAATATTGAAATGTTGAAGACTTTTTTACTTAACTAACCATGTAAAGCTTTGCATTAAACATTCAAGTGGATAATTATTTTTTTCTATATTCAGAAGCATTTAAAAGAGTTCAAAGTGCATACAAAATTTCATAAAAATCTGAAATACCACCAAATTACAGATACTTTCAATTATAAAATGAAAAAGTAAAAAACAAATAATCAAAGCAGTTAAATATGTTCAGATTTTTACAATGTTACAAACTGACATTTTTCTTTAAAGTATCATGATGTTCAATATATATATATATATGCTTAGTTTATAAATAATCTCACCAACGGCTTTATCAAGATAAGCCAAATCTGTTAATCTTTTGTAATATTTCACCTGTCAAATATAACATGAAGACTGTCAAACATGTCAAAATAAACAAAGACTTTGATTCACCTTTGATAACTAAAGAAATTGATGCAAATAACAATAGTGATATGCAAAATGAACTACCAGGTAATTGCCAAAGCTTTACATAAAAAATCTTATTACTGCACAAAAAGACTGTCTATATTTGTTTGAATGAATAATGTTTCTATTGACAAATTTTCTTTTGCATTGAATTATACCATCTTTATTGATAAAATATTTGTTTAAACTCATCATAAATGCAGACTTACTGACAACCAGCAACATGAAGTTAGCAATATTCAAGTAGGCCTTTCCCAGCATGAAACTGCTCAGAGAATGCAGTGTTCAGCCTGTACAAGTAACAACTAGAAGGGTTCTACTAATCAAACAGTTCCTCAAAACAGAATCTTTGTACAATAGGCCATTTCAAAGAACAAAGAGCATCAACTGCCCAGTAAAAACAACACCTTAGGCTTAAATATTTTCATGATATTTTGTGAACAGCTCAGCTTGTCCAATTGGTTTGTGAGACTATCAGAATCCATGATTGACCCAACAACATCACAAATTGTCATACAGACAGTGGTTATCCATCCCGTAGTCTTATAGTCAAACAAATCAAGGTTGCACCTTTGCCAAAGTAATTAAGGAACAAAGGGGAGAACACTATGCTGTCTCATGTATCTAGTAGAATGGTCTTTAGGTATCATGGTATTGAGAGGCACCTTTGAACCACAGGACTCCCCCTGTCACCATCAATGGTAATCTTACTTCTCAAGGCTATACTGATAAAGTTTTATCATTGACAGTTTTACTGACTTTTGCTTGAAATCCAGTCATTTAACTACTTATTTTTCAGACATAATGCCATTCACATTATGGCAAGCCATAGAGAACATAAACTACAACAAAAACTTATATCTCAGTTTGATAATCCATTAAGGAAAGTGGACAAACATTCAGCATGATGGCTTCATATAAACTCCTTCAGGTTGTCGGTGTTTTTCAAAATTGCCTTTTCCCAGATACACATTTAGATGGAATAGACCTTCTTAAATATACATAATTCCATGAATCTACATTTTCAAGTGTGTGAGAATCAACTAAGACCCTCACTTATAATCCATTACTAGTAAGACAAAATGAACACAAAACTAGAGTGATTTCTTATCTAATCACCTTGCATATTTCTGTACAACACATATATTCCACTGGATAAAGATTAAATAAATGGAGAATGTGTCCATGGGACACAGATGATGCCCCTGCTTGCATATAACGTTACAAAGGGACATAACTAGAGACCTGTAAAAGTGACACGACCTAATTTCGAATTTAATCTGTGTTTTATGGTAATAAGCAGTGTGTATAAGTTTTATAATATTTGGTTGAGACAACTAAAGTTAGGGAATGGAAAGGAAAAATTCGGCAATTTTTCCATTTATAAAGTGGCATAACTTGAGAACGGTAAAAGTGATGCTACCCTAATTCGAACTTGATCTAAGTTTTGTGGTAATAAGCATTGATTATAATTTTCATAACATTTGGTTCAAGCAACTAAAGTAAGGGAATGGAAAGGAAAATTCAACAACTTTTCAATTTATAAAATGACATAACTCTAGAACAGTAAAAGTGATGCCACCCAAATTCGAACTTGATCTGTGTTTTGTGGTTATAAGCATTGTTTATAATTTTCATAACATTTGGTTGAGGCAAACTAAAGTTAGAGAGTGGAAACGAAAACTTTCAGCAATTTTTCGGTAAAGACTCATCAATTTTTCCATATATAAAGGGACATAACTCCAGAACAGTACAAGAGAATCCATCCAAATTCCAACTTGATCTGTGTTTTGTGGTAATAAGCATTGTGTATAAGTTTCATAACATTTGATTGAGGCAAACTCAAGTTAGAGAATGGAAACGAAAAATTCAGCAATTTTTTTCTTTTGTAAAGGGGCATAACTCTAGAACAGTAAAAGTGACACCACTCAAATTCATACCAGATCTGTGTTTTGCGGTAATAAGCATTGTGTATAAGTTTCATAACATTTAGTTTAGGCAAACTGAAGTTAGAGAACGGAAAATAATATTGGGAGGCATGTACGGACGGACAAGGGTAACACTTAATGCCCACTCTGACGCAGCGGGGGCAAAAAATATTATTTTCATAAATTGTGCCTGATCCAAAAATTGTGACAAGATGAAATTACCCACCTCTACATCATCACCAGTGTGCAACATGAGTTCTCGTACCAAATCTATACCACCAGCCTCCCCACACAGATGTATTTCCTTGGCACAAAGTCCCAGTAAAGCTCTGGTCCAGGCCCAGCCACGACCCTTGTCCCTAACCATTTGTATTTCATCTATCACAGCTACTTCATCTGCAGTATAATTTGTATTGGATAACAATTACAAATATAGATAGTAGGAAGTTTCATGTATTAGCAGAAGGAAATAATCATGAATATCATGCCAAGAATTTTACATTTCTTTAGAAATGTTTTTTATGAAAGAAATATAATACATGTACAAAATGTACAAAAATAGTTATGTTTCCCATATGGGAAGTCACAAATTGTAACCCTTCCATAATCAATCGCATGAATCCAGATACAAATGTTCTCAGAAAACTTTACTTTTTTTAGGTTTGGCTGCTGTTCAATTTTGACTCTTTGGCTTTTTGTCCTCTTTTAACTTTTTTTATATGTGACTTCCAAAACTTTTGTTCTTGAAACTAAATATTCTGATGGAAAAAGATAAATATCCCATTTTTATAAATGTCTGATCTACAGGTTGAACATACCCACCATTACATATTAAACTAGATACATTTTGACTGGAATTTTGTCATTTAATCATATCTCCAGCCTCTCTGTGTGAACTTGAGGAATGACCAAATATAACACATGACTTTCAACAATTTGAGCGAAGTATTAAATGCTCACGACCTCATGTTAAAAAAATTCAAGTTTCTAGAGTGTATATGGCTTATAAATTCTATGCAATACTGTCATAGAAAGGAAAAAAAACTTGTACATAAATAAAAGTTATTGTGCCCTGTATTCTCTAAGACATATGCCCTGTCGTCAACTGGCACATTGTCCCTTCCAATTTATAGCTGGAGCATTGTATGTAAATTATATAGTATAAGTGAGATGATCTGATATTTCTGAAGTTACTTACAGTATTAACTCATGTCACTGTTACTTACAATGTGTATTTACTGATGTCATTTCTACAGTACAAGCCACATGATTTGAAGGTTCATCAAGTTACTACAATGTGTATTTACTGATGTCATTTCTACAGTACAAGCCACATGATTTGAAGGTTCATCAAGTTACTACAATGTGTATTTACTGACGTCATTTCTACAGTACAAGCCACATGATTTAAAGGTTCATCAAGTTACTTACAATGTGTATTTACTATTGTCATTTCTACAGTACAAGCCACATGATTTGAAGGTTCATCAAGTTACTTACAATGTGTATTTACTGATGTCATTTCTACAGTACAAGCCACATGATTTGAAGGTTCTCCATCTTCACTGGCATATCTTCTTTCTTCTCCAGTAACAAGGTCACAAGGAGTTCCCTGAAGTTAAATCAATTGCTTTTACATTTAAATCATCTTCTGATACTAAAAACTATGTAATATAAAAAAAAAGATGTGATGTGATTATAAATGAGACAACAAACCATCACGGAAGAAAGAACAAGGATGTAAAAAAACTAGAGGTTAATATTAAGCAAAAACTTTTTTTATTTCCTCAAAATATTCATTGTGTCAATATTAATCCAATTTACCCCTGGCCAGTGGATGCTTTATTTTCGAAATTAGCAATTTCCACTGGACATAATAACATTCCAGGACAGGGTTATCATGGAGCAGTTTTTAATATCAGTAACTGTCAATACTTAACAGGGTTCACACTACTTCATAATAATACGGAGAAGTGACTACTCTCTTTGAAACTGACAGGGAGGAGTAGTCAGACTAAAAGAGAAGTGCATTTGAACCATGACACTAACATGTTTGGTTTTTAAAAATTGCAATTTTGCCTTTTGTATCCAAATCATTTCTTTCATTTTTGGTTTAGTACAAATCACTTGTTTATCTTATAACTGTTATGTAAGGGATTTTGACAAAACCTCTATGTATGTGTGTTGAGTGCATATGTTTCCCTCTGGGTTATTATTCTTCTGGCTGCTGAGCCATGCATGCATCTAAAGTCTGAGTAGATCATTGTATTTAAATAAATGGAGAATGTGTCCATGGGACACAGATGATGCCCCTGTGTGCATATGACGTTATAAAGGGGCATAACTCCAGATCGGTAAAAGTGACGCCACCCAAATTCAAACTTGATCTGTGTTTTGTGGTGATAAGCATTGTGTATAAGTTTCATAACATTTGGTTGAGTCAAAAGTTAGAGAATGGAAACCAATTTCGGGATGTATGTATGTACAAGGGAAAACCTTAATGCCCCCTCTGCTACGGCGATACCATATAACATGGGAAAATCACATATATTTGTAACCATGACCAAGTTTACAACCTCTTTTAGGGTAGTTTCTTTATCGTTCCATTACAATTAACAAAGTTTTTATGCAGATCGATATCTTGAACAATAAAGAATTAAATCATACCTTATCATTACATTTATTGTAGACCTCAGCAGCTAGAAGTCTCAGGGGACCACAATAGACCCCAGATTTTGCTGATGTTAATCTCTGTAAAGCATGGTACGTTTTACCACTGTTAGTTGGACCTGCATGATATATAATCTTTCTATCAATGGTTCTGGCTTCCTGGTACCTGAAATATGGTGTATTTATATTATTTTCAATAAAATATTCTGTCAGAGGTAAATTTATCTGTCATTAATAACACATTGTAGTACATGTAATATGGCAACCAAATATAAATTTCTAAATTCCTTCACGTAACTTCAGAAATACAATAATATTTTTTTGTGGTTTTTTAAGTGGTTCACTTAATTCAGTCATCAAAATTGGAAACTTTTACATAGTCTTGTGTTTGTCCTAAACTACAAATATATGTATGAAACAATAACGTATCCATATTATACACTCAATAGTTGAATGGAAAATTGGGTGTATATTGCATACTGTGGATTCATTTATTTTCGTGGGTACCAATTTTCGTGGATTGAGGAAAACTAGCATTTTCGTGGATATTTGATTTCGTTGTTTTAACAAAGTCTGCATACATTTCTTCAGAAAACTTGTAATTTGTTGAACATTTAAATTCGTGGTTCTCCTGTACCCACGAAATCAACGAAAATTGGAGTCCAACGAATAATAATGAATCCACAGTATATATTTAGGTCAAAAACTTATTAGTATCATCATGATCATATGAATATATCCTGCTTTCTACCAGACTGACACACAAGTCGATTTTTTTAATGTGCTAGTTAACAGTCTGCAGAAAAAAAACATGTTGTCATATAAACCTACCCAAAAACAGATATAGATTATCTCACTCTTCTACCTGCTGAAATATAAAGCTCTATACAAATATTCTTACTCAATTGCTGTTGGCAGATAAGCATCACTGTCTTTTATTCTGTGAGGTGAGACAGAAATAATATTTCAAAATTCTAATATTCCCAACATCATGTTGAGTTCAGATATACCTACCAATTAGCTGGATTTCTAAGATCACTTATTTTCTTTAAATCTTCCAAACATTCTAAGTGTGGGAATATCTTTTTAGTGTGCTGTAAGAAATAGGGTAGGAGGTCATCAACATGTCCTGCAAGTAAAAATGATTATATAAAAAAGAGTAAATGGTAGGAGGTCATTACATAAACACCATAATGTAAGTATGTATTGACCGGTACATAGATTAATCGTTATGCAGTAAAATGACAAATTCCATGCTATAATAAGAAAATTGTTAAAGAACTTGACAGACTTTATAGTGTAAAAGCTATACATTATATATCTCTGTCTTTATCATGAAACAATTTTGTAAGTAGAAATTTTGGAGCTATATTTTCCAACTGAATACTAGCTTCTAAATATATGTATACTAATTCGTCTAGAAAGCAGAGACTTGCACAGAGATTTGCAATGTTTAAAATTGTTATTTCAGTTTCATTCATGAAGAAGAGGCTGCTATCTATGTTGTTATTTCAGTTTCATTCATGAAGAGGAGGCTGCTTTCTATGTTGTTATTTCAGTTTCATTCATGAAGAGGAGGCTGCTATCTATGTTGTTATTTCAGTTTCATTCATGAAGAGAAGGCTGTTTTCTATGTTGTTATTTCAGTTTCATTCATGAAGAAGAGGCTGTTTTCTATGTTGTTATTTCAGTTTCATTCATGAAGAGGAGGCTACTATCTATGTTGTTATTTCAGTTTCATTCATGAAGAGGAGGCTGCTTTCTATGTTGTTATTTCAGTTTCATTCATGAAGAGGAGGCTGCTATCTATGTTGTTATTTCAGTTTCATTCATTCATGAAGAGGCTGCTATCTATGTTGTTATTGCAGTTTCATTCATGAAGAGGAGGCTGCTTTCTGTTGTTATTTCAGTTTCATTCATGAAGAGGAGGCTGCTTTCTATGTTGAGTTTTGTGTACTGTTGTTTGTCTTCTCCTCATTTGTCGTTTTTTGCCATGGCATTGTCAGTTTGTTTTTCGACTTATGAGTTTGAATATCTCTTTAGTATCTTTCGCCTCTCTTTTTTATTCTCTCATATTTTTTACAAACAATGTTTACAGAAATTTCATGAGATAAAAGCAAAGATCAATTATCATGACTATATATTAATGCTTACGACATACCTGCACCAGCAGCAATATCACTTAGTATGAGATGTAACTCGACCGGGAGATTTTCTTCATCACAACAAAACTTTCTAAAACTCTGGTATGACTTATGGAAGAATTTGGCTAAAAAATAAAATATGATATGCATTTTATGATTTAGTAGGCATTCATTAAATAAATCCAGTTTTGACAAAAGATCTTCAGTTGTTTCTGTCAAATTTATTGAAAACTTGAAATTACTTGGGACATTTAATATCTGTATGTGACCATATCTGAAGAATGTATTAATGTTGGCATGTAGATGTTGTTTAGGGGTGGGTTTATTTGGTGTTGCTGAGTTGTTTTTTTAATGTCTAATGTACATACATATATACCATAAATCTCATTTTATTACACAGAAGAAGGAAATTGACATAGGTCTCAAAGAGACAGTGAACTTAAAAAAAAATTTGTAGTTCTGTAATTTATATAGTACGTTTGTACATGTTTACTGCAAAGCTTGACATTTAGATGCTGCCAACATTGACAACTGCAACCTTTATTTGCCAACACAACTTTGACCAGACAAAGAATTGGAACTATTTTCCAAAAATGAATATAAACATACACCATAGGAATACCATGTTTTTCTTTAATAGGATAAAGCTGATCAAAGGCTTTTAATGATCTGATGATTAGACTGTCACTAGTTTCCACAGATACTGGATTCTTTTGTTCATTTATCATGTATGAAAAACTTTTAATACAAGTACATATGAAGTTCAATATTTATCTCCAATTGTACAAATCAAGGACAGTATGCATTGATACTATAAAATAAAAATACAAAAAAAAATACATCGACTACATGGTCTATATGAAATAGATTTTAATGTATTTCTTATAAATCTATGTTTCTACAACTGCAGAAAACAAACTCAAATCAAACACCAGATCTTAATCATAGCAACGCTTAAATAAATGAATCCCACTGTACAAAACAGTGCAATGCTGAAAAATGTTGACAACTCACTGGTAACTCACATTCAATGCCATTCTCTTCTGCAAATTTTCTTACTTCTTTCCTTAAATAGAATTGAGTCAAAATTCCCAGTATCTTTTCTGAAAAAGAAACGTACTATGGTTAATCTAAAATCAGTCATCCCCCTGTTCATGTCTGGCGATTCAATAAAAACAATTTGGCCTTGATTTGCCTATCTGCCTCATATCACCTATTCCTTTCCAACTTAAAACTTCATTAGCTCTGAATAAATATTAGATAATAATCATATGCATGTAAAGAGTGTCATGCTATCTGCAAGTTAAGATTTTTCAGTCTGCTCTGTTGGATTTGATTGTCACTGCATCCATGTTCATTGTATGATCTGCAAAGGGGAAGCCCTGATATTCCGACACCCCAACAGTCCGACATTCCATTGGTCAGAAACCTCAAAAATTTGACAACCCATTAGTCTGAGATCGGAATATTTAAAAAAAAGTGTTTTATTTTCATATTAGAAAGCCAAATAAAAGATCCGTTCAATATTAAAAGGACCTTGTCCTTCGTGGTAAAAGTGACAAAACCAATGATGCATCACTATACTGATTAAAAGTTATTTCTAAACAACAATTGTACATTTTAACATGTTTAATGCAAGTGTGAGTTAAACAAAAGCACTTTCAAGTCACCAATTTTCAGAGTGTTTCACATGGTCCTTAGCATGTTACAATTTCCCGAAATATGCATATTTTCCACATCTAAATTTTCAAGAACGCTGGTCTGCTCTTGTCCAGTGACCTTTTTTTTTCTTATAGAAATATTGTCTTTTTTAAATATAATGATTTAAGTTGTTTCTGTGCAGGTTAAAAAAGTAAAGATAAATATTATCACAAAGTAGGTTATCGTTAAAAGATTTTTACTATTTTATTTCACAATTTTAAGAATAAGTAATCTCAATTTTTGTTCATGTATCTGGGGCATCCTCGACGTATTCACACTCAATGTTTACATCGGGATGAGGTCTGTTTAAATTATCTTAGTAATCTGATTTCAAAAGTGTTACACTTTGCTGCATATTTTAAAAGTGATTCCTTTGGTATTATTTTCCTGAACTTCTCTTATCTAGCTGCATACATATACAGATAAAAGGCATGCTCCAGAGAGGTATACATTGCCAGTAGAAAAATAAGTTGAAGTTGGTACTCCAGAAATTCATTTACATAGCAACATTTTAAACCAATTTTACAACAAGAAACTGTCAGAGTGACAGCAAACCTGCTTTCCCTGCAGATGTCGAATCCCTGAACAGTTCAGCAAGTATGGACACAACATTTAAGCTTAAAACAGCTCTGAATCTAGATTGTGATTGAATATTTAAAATAATGATGAAAATGATATTTGCAAATCTGAACCCCAAAACAGGATCAAGTAAAAATTAAACATTAACACACGCAACAAAAATAAAATACCACATAACAACTGTGACATCTACCATCATAACACACATGACTTAAAAAAAATAGTTATACAGAAATTTTTGACAACTAATAACTAAAATTAATTGAACAGAGACAATCATTAATAGACTAAAATCCAAATACTTAACCATTTCTGTTCAAAGGGAAATAACTCAAACTTATTTCCATGAACCAGTGATGTAAACAGCAAAAATAGTTCTCTAAAATTAGATATGATTTAACCACTAAAAACTAATCAAAAATATCAATACCACTTAGATTCAGCATATGAAAGAACACAAAGAACTCAATTTTTTTTTAAATAAAAGTAGTTGTATATTGGACCCTTTGGACCTAAATGTGGACCAATTTGAAGACAGGCCTCAAAATTAAAAAAAAATCTAACAAGAGACCAAATGACAAAGAAATTAATTATCAATTTCTGTTAAAAGGGAAATAACTCAAATTCATATAATAAAAATAAATTTTGCTATTGAAAGGTCTAAAACTCAACAACTAGAACAGCTAAAATCTTGAAAATTGAACTTGACCTTCATTTAGTCACAGGAAACAACATATCTAAATTTGAAAAGATTTATTCAAAGGGTTTTCATGTTGATGAACGGACACTGTTTGGCAGCTGCAAGTCCATCCGCCCGCCCGCCCGCCCTAAATCCCCAAAACAATAACTGATTTTTCTTTTGAAAATCCGGTTAAAAAGCACATGTAGCCTATTGTATTTGTTGATTGCTATTTTAGGAGGAAAATGATTACATTATAAGGAAATTTTTGTTGCAAGGCTTAATTTCTGTCCCTTTCCAATATACTCTCATTTTCAAGTGGCAGTCCACATTATGCCCTTAATCCTGGTCAATTCATGATTACAGTACCTAATAAATTTGTTTTCGTTCTGGACATGCATGAAATATTTGCCAAGGACATAAAGCCAATACAAATCAATCAATCAAATTCTATCAATGAGTTATTTTTGTGAAATAGCTTGGTCTCACTTTGTATTAGTAAAGCAAAATATTGTGAGGTTGTCTATTGCCTTATATTTATCATGTTTATAGAATCATGGTATTTCTAACATACCTAATGAGAGTGCTGTCTTTTCCATTTTTTATACTCAGAATTAAGTATACACTAGTTCATCTATGAAGTAGATTTTCAAATTTGAACAGCGTCGATTATTGAGGTGACGGACTATTGGGGTGTCAGACTAATAAGTTATCGGACCAATGGGGTGCCGATATAGTGGGAGGACTCCATCTGAAACATTTTACTCCAACTTCATTACATGTCAAAATCCATACTGGAATCTAATAAAGAGGACTTTTGGCATGTGAGTAGTATTCATAACATATTGATAAAGGTCATGTTAGATGACATTTTAGAATTGAATCTTATCTTTCCCTACAAAAGTTTTTATATTATTTATAATGAGCTTTTAAAAAAAAATCCTAGAAAGAAATATAACTGAATATAGTCAGGAAACTTGATGTTCTAACCATATCCTCTATGATTGGAAATTCTTTACCCGAACTCAAAACGGAAGAAAAAAATCACAACCTTGGAGCAAATATTATCCACTGTGAATGTAAATACTCTTTACTTATTTGCAAACAGTCTGATACATTTAATTGATGAATAGCTTCAGAAACATGGTCAATCTTTCTATGTTTCGTATTGTGACCTGATTCCGAAAAATAAGTAGGCATGCTTGTAAGTTTGTGACCTTTGTCTTGGACGGTGGCTTTTGCGCATGTGCAACAATATATAGGTCAGGCCTATTGTATTATGTATTTGAACATTGAGATCAAATAACAAATGAATATCTCGAAAAAAAAAGAGAAATTGGGACATACTTTCAGGGCTCACACTACTTCAGAATCATAGGAAGAAGTGACTTCTCTTTTTTAAACTAATAGGGAGAAGTGGTGAGATTTGAAAGAGAAGTACAATGTTTTTGGATTTTTACTATAATAAAAAGGGCCATATGTATCCTATTTATCTATTTTCTATATTGTTCAATTTATATACCTAAGTATACAATTAAAGTAACAGTTGTTTCAGTTTATCATTTCTAGTTGCACAATTATATAGGTCCTCTTGTCAGAAACTACCAACTAAATATCTAGTACTAAAAAGAACTTTTTTTGTATCAAAAGGAAAAGAAAGTATAATATATCAATTAAAATTCAATTAATAAACTATTCTGTTTATCATGTTTATGAAATTCATTGTTTCTCATTAAAAAGATATATAAATTTAACAATGTTAAGCAACTTTAATCAATAAAATGAAACAATGCTTATAAATGGAAATATATTCATTAAGCAAGGAGATCTAACAAAAAGTCTGTTAATGAATGTGGAAAGTTTTCTGTATGAAATAACATACAATCAATCTGTAAAGTCAATAATTTCTCCTCTTTTCTAAAGAAATAAATCGTTTATGTCTTTGAATTTCTTTGAAAATTGAAAATTGCCGATGATGAAAGCGACTGAAAGCGAGTATTGTGAACACCAGGGCGACTAGTTATCGCTTTTGACAGTCCGGCAAAGCGAAGTGACGGACGGGAAAGCGACTTCTTCGCCCCAGTGACCTGCTTGCGTGAGCCCTGACTTTTTATTCTCCCTACAAAGATTATTCTAATTTTTACACGTGACTTTCAATGGTCAATTGGAATGTCCAGAATTAAACATTTTAAACACGTTGAAGATAACTATAATGATGTCACAATGTCATTAATGCATCAAAGTATTTTTTCATTCAATTTACAAGCAATGGCATAGGATTAAATTACTTTTACGAGCCAATATTTTCGGCAGGTTTTGTTTTATCAAAATATATCAAATCATTTTCTGATAAAAAAAAATAAAACTCTTGGCCTTAAAACAAGAGGCTCTCAAGAGCCTGAATCGCTCACCTGCATTTCAGAGGAGAAGATTTTTAAATGTTAGCAAACTTGATGAACAAATTGTGTAAAATTGTCTTTAAAGGGCAATAACTCCTTAAGGGGTCAATTGACAATTTTGGTCATATTAACTTTTTTGTAGATCTTACTTTGCTGAACATTATTGCTGCTTGCAGTTTATATATATCTATAATAATATTTAAAATAATAACAAAAAACTGCAAAATTTTGTTAAAACTACCAATTCGGTGGCAGCAACCCAACAATGGGTTGTTCGATTCGTCTGAAAATTTCAGAGCTGATAGATCTTGACCAACTGAACAATTTTACCCCATGTCACATTTGCTCTAAAAGATTTAGTTTTTGAGATATAAGCCAAAAACTGCATTTGACCCTTATGTTCTATTTTTAGCCATGGCGGCCATGTTTGTCGATGGATCAAAACTTCGGATACAATTTATAAACAAGATACCCTAAGGAACATTAAGTTAAAAGTTGAGGGTAATTGGCCCAGTAGTTTCAGAGGAGAAGATTTTTAAATGTTAGCAAACTTGATGAACAAATTGTGTAAAATTGTCTTTAAAGGGCAATTACTCCTTAAGGCGTCAATTGACAATTATGGTCATATTTACTTTTTTGTAGATCTTACTTTGCTGAACATTATTGCTGCTTACAGTTTATATATATCTATAATAATATTCAAAATAATAACAAAAAACTGCAAAATTTTGTTAAAACTACCAAT